GGTAGCATTTGCCCAAGTATTTGGATCATCTTCCATTGCTTTTCTCAGGCCATCAGCAGGAAGCTAGATCAAAAGCAGAACAGCCAGAACATGAACCAGTGCTCATATGGGGTGCTTGTATTGCAGACGGCAGGTTTACTTGCTATGTGACAATGCTGGCCCTGTTTTATGGGAACTTCGAAATGAAATTTTGAAGTTGTATGCATTGTAGTTTGCATGTAATTCAACTTTCTGCCATACTTACTGATATATATCAGCATTTGATGTAGGACAAATCAGAAAACACAATGGCTTAACAAATAGCCATTTGATTTGCAGTTCTGACTCTGTGTTTTGGGCTGTACTCAGCTGGGCAGTTCCTATGATCAGTCCAGGAGCAGAAATGAGAGTTTAGTCATCTGGGGAACTGATTGAGGCTTCACTTAAGTGTCTGGGGTTTGTGGTGAATCTTGGCTACATATTATCTCTTTTTTTCTTTTTTTGACAGGCAGAGTTAGTGAGAGAGAGAGAGACAGAGAGAAATGTCCTTCCTTCCATTGGTTCACCCCCCCAAATGGCTGCTATGGTCAGCATGCTGTGCTGATCCAAAGCTAGGAGACAGGCACTTCCTCCTGGTCTCCCATGTGGGTGCAGGGCCCAAGCACTTGGGCCATCCTCCACTGCCTTCCCAGGCCACAGCCAAGAACTGGAGTGGAATAGGAGCAACTGGGTCAGAACCAGCACCCCAACTGAGACTGTCACCCGGAATACCAGTGCCACGGGCAGAGGATTAACCTAGTGAGCCACGGCGCCAGCCTACATACTATCTCTTCAACAGGCAGGCCCCAGGGTTTTTCAGAAGATAACTGTCAGAACAAGAAAATCTGAGAAGGCAAATACTTTACAAATTGTCTATTTCTGGGGCTGGTTCTGTGACATAGCAAGTAAAGACACTGCCTGCAGTGCCAGCATCTCATATGGGTGTCAGTTGATGACTCGGCTGCTCCACTTCTGATCCAGCTCTTTGCTACAGCCTGGGAAAACAGTAGAAGATGGCCCAAGTCCTTTGGCCTCTGCTCCCTTGTGGGAGACCTGAAAGAAGCTCCTGGTTCATATCTTTGGATCTACACAGCTCCAGCCATTGCAGCCATCTGGGGAGTGAACCTGCAGTTTGAAGACCTCTCTTTATTCCTCCTTCTCTCTCTCTCTCTTTTCTCTGCCTCTCCTTCTCTCTTTGTGTAACTCTTTCATATAAATAAATATTTTAACAAATTGTCTATTTCTATCACATTTACTGGTATCTCATGGGGTAAATCAATTGAAATGGTGAAATTCAGGGTCTTTTTCAAAAAGATTTATTTATTCATTTGAAAGAGTTACACACAGAGAGAGGGAGAGGCAGAGAGAGATAGAGAGCTCTTCCATCTGCTGGTTCACTCCCCAGTTGGCTGCAATGGCCAGAGTTGTGCCAATCCAAAGCCAGGGTCCAGGAGATTCTTCTGGGTCTTCCACATGGGTACAGGGGCCCAAGGACTTGGGCCATCTTCTACTGCTTTCCCAGGCCATAGCAGAAAGCTGGATCAGAAGTGGGGCAGCTGGGAATCAAACCAGTGCCTATGTGGGATGCCAGTCTACAGGTGGCAGTTTTACCCGCTAGGCCACAGTGCCAGCCCCAATCCAGGGTTTTGTGAAGGGATGAATACAGGGAAAGGTGCTACTTGGAATCATTACTGGTAAAGTGCACTGCATTAAATATACATTATGTGTATTTGTTAACTTTCTTTAGTATAAACTTTAATAACATAATGTTTATCTCTGATAACCTTATCCATTTGAACACTCAACTTTTCTTTTTCCTTTTACATTATTATTTTACAAAATTTGTAGATAATGCTTTCGTTAAACCAATGATAACTTCTGTTTAATCTCTGCCACTTAATATAGGTGGGTGCATTTTCCTATGTATTTCTATTTTTAGAGGTTTATTCCTCCACAGTGAAGCTGATGTTTTCTTGGTTAATGTATTTATTATTCTTTACTCATTCTATTATATCCTTTTTTTCCCCACTGTTCAGTGCAGAAGGAAACCAGAGGGTTTTTTTTTAAGATTTCATTTATTTATTGAAAGAGTTGCAGAGAGAGAAAGTCTTCTATCTGCTGGCTCACCCTCCAAATTACTGCAAAGGCCAGAGCTCAGCTGATCCAAAGCCAAGACGCAAGAGCTTCTGGGTCTCCCATGCAGGTGCAGTGGCCCAGGGACTTGGACCATGTTCCACTGCTTTCTCAGGACATAGCACAAAGCTAGATTGTATGTTGAGCAGGCAGGACTTGAACCAGACCCCATATGGAATGCTGGCACTGAAGGCAGCAGCTTTACCCATTATGCCACAGCGTTGGCCTCCTGAGTTTTCTTTGAACTCCTGCCATTCACCTCTCTCCCAGGTATGATTCTGGGTCCTCCACATGTTTCTAAGAGGAAAGAAAATTAATATATCACCTGTAAGTGTTTTTTTTTTTTTTTAATTATTCCCCAGCTTGTCAGTACTCATTTTTGGTGTTTAATGCTAGTTTATTTATTTTTTTAGATTTTTTTTATTTATTTGAAAGTCAGAGTTACAGAGAGGCAGAGGGGGAGAGAGAGAGAGTCTTGCATCTGCTGGTGCACTCCCCAGTTTGCCACAATGGCCGAAGTTGCACTGGTCCAAAGCTAGAAGTGAAGAGCTTCTTCTGGGTCTCCCACATAGGTTCAGGGGCCCAAGGACTTAGGCCATCTCCTACTGAATCCCCAGGCCATAGCATAGAGCTGGATTGGAAGTGAAGCCACTGGGACTTGAACTGGCACCAATATGGGATGCCAGCACTGAAGGCAGTAGCTTTACCTGCTAGCCACAGTGCCAGTCCCAGTATACTAGTTAATTAAAATGGAAAATATGGGGCTGGCACTGTGGCTCAGTGGGTTAATGCCCTGGTCTAAAGCATCGACTTCCCATATAGGCACCAGTTTGAGACCCGGCTGCTCCACTTCTGCTCCAGCTCTCTACTATGGCCTGGGAAAGCAGTGGAAGATGGCCCAGGTCCTTGGGCCCCTGCACCCATGTGGGAGACCCAGAAGAAGCTCCTGGTTCCTGGCTTCAGATTGGTGCAGTTCCAGCCATTGCAGCCAACTGGGGACTGAACCAGCAGATGGAAGACCTCTCTCTCTTTCTCTGCCTCTCCTCTCTCTGTGTATCTCTGACTTTCAAATAAATAAATAAATCTTTACAAAATTTTAAAATAGAAAAATAAACATAAAATTTGTTATCACAGAATATACAGAAATGAATTATGAATTTGGCATGATTATGAAACATTACTGTCATCTATAATAATGCAGTTTGGTCTCTTGTCTTTCTGTTGCTATTGCAAAATATATATTTGTTACATGAATTGAGTTGAAACTAAGCACAATATGCTACCTTTTTGGGGTCATGTCTGAAACATTCTACACATAGATGATGTACTGAACAGTGTTTTAGTGCTACCTATGAAGTAAACACTTAGCATTCTGCAAGAGGAAGAGTTACCTAGTGCTGGAACACAAATCAGTTAAGTTTGTTTTCAAATTGTTAGAGTAATGGAGTTCTTAATACCTTTGAGAAGTTGAATTGGATTCTGGAATAGGATAAGGAATGTGTGGAGAAAAGAATCTACTGGAGGCTCATTTATTTTTTTAAGATTATTTATTTGAAAGGTGGACTTGCAGAGATTGGGAGAGACAGGGAGACAAAAGGTGATATATTCTATCTACTGTTTCATTCCCCAAATGCCCACAATGGCTGGGACTGGGCCAGGCCAAAGCCAGGAGCCTGGGACTCCATGGGTCTCCCACATTGAATACTCAGGCCATTTTCACTGCTCTTTCAATCAGGTTAGCAGGGAACTAGATTGGAAGTGGAGCAGCAAGGACTCAAGTCCTCTGTTTACATGGGATGCCAGCATTGATGGTGGAGGCTTAGCCTGCTGGATCACAATTCTGGTGACTATTGCAGGTTCTGAAACAAATCTCTAAGCATTTTTCTCAGTGAGTCACAAATGCAGATTGTACTGCAGACATTCCCAGGTTCTCTTTTTGGGCAAATAATTCCATTGCTTTCATTTAATTATGTATAATGTCATTTCAAATGTTTATCATTTGAATGTTTTGGGCAAGTATTTCCATTGCTTTCACTTTAATTAGGTATAATGTTATTTCAATTGTTTATCACTAGAATAATCATAGACAAGGGCAAAAGCTAATTTGTATTCTTTGTCTTACCTGTATTTCTCTCTTACTTAAAAATATTTATTAGCTTGATAGAGAAAAAAGTTGATGGACTGAGAGATAGAGAGCTTTGACACATTAATTCACTTCCTAGATAACCATACCAAACAGGTGGGGCAGGACTGAAGCCAGGATTGAGGAATGGAATCTAGGCCTCCTTCATTGGTGACATCAGCCATTGCTTCCCCAGGTTTGCATTATCTGGGAGCTAGAAACTAGAGCTGGCATTGGAAATCACAGACACTCTGAGGTGGCATCATAAACAACACTAAGCTAAATGTCTGCCCTGTCTTTTAATATATTTTTCCTCTGACATATTGGAAATGATATGCATGGTGTTTTCCTGGAAATTGTTTTCTGTTCATTCCCATCGTAGTTTCACTGATGGTTTCTTGCCTTTTTTTCTCAATGCTTCTACATACTTCTCCTTAACATTGCCCAGTCAAGAGTCAGTATTGCCCCTCTTCTAGCCTGCTGTGCAATTCCCCTTGACAGATGTGGCCTTTGTGATTTGAACCTCCTGTTTCCCTCCAGCTTGGGCATTTCTCACAGCCTGTAGATCATGGGTTTGACTCTGTTGAATGCTCCGTGTGGCTTTCTAAACACTCCACAAGTCTAATGTGAAACCATATCCTTCCTTTTTTCCTTCATATCCATATACAACTGTCAGTGTTTGTTTTGTGACAGAGTTAACATGTTGACTGGAAGTGTATTATTATAGGTGATGACAGCATTTGAAGACCTGGCTGTGTACTTTACATGGGAAGAATGGCAGAAAATGAACAATGCTCAGAAAATCCTGTACAGAGATGTGATGCTGGAGACCTACAGCAGCCTGTTCTCCTTGGGTGAGTGACACCCATCACATGCCCAGTGATAACATTTTCTTGCTATTTGACAAATAAGGGAACACTTTATAATGTTTAATATTGGGCAGGATTAGAAATTGAGTCCATGAATAATCTGAATATCTACCATCTAACAAAAGATTCAGATTGGAACATTTGTTGCATAGCTCCTGAACCAAGCTGTAGTCCTTTAAATAACCCAAGATAGTAATTTTACAAAGTCTTACTTTGTTTCCATTAATAGGGCACTGCATTACCAAACCTGACTTGATCTTCAAGTTGGAGCGAGGAGAAGAGCCATGGATGGTGGATGAATGCTTGAATCTGAGCCTTTCAGGTCAGTCTGCACATGACAGGGAAGCCAAGGCAGAAAGTGTGCAGATGTTGATTGGTGTTCTTTCCATGAATTTTTCTCAAGCCTTACTCCTGATGACAGCTGCTTTTGTGCATCAGACACAGGCATTTAGAGATACCAATATCTTTCTAACTTTTGTTCTTAGTGAAGATGTTCTTTGATTAAAAAAAAAATCCAGTCATTTTCTGATGTTACTAAGGCTTTTATCTAGGTTTGATACATTCCTCCAATTCTAACTTGTCCTTCTCTACACTTTCATACCTTTTCCTTCATGCACTTATTATATTAGTTCCTTCAGTGCTTGTTAATTAGGCAACATACAGAAACTTATTTTTTTAAGATTAATTTTTTTTTTTTGACAGGCAGAGTGGGCAGTGAGAGAAAGAGACAGAGAGAAAGGTCTTCCTTTTGCCATTGGTTCACCCTCCAATGGCCACCATGGCCAGTGTGCTGTGGCTGGCACACCATGCTGATCCAAAGCCAGGAGCCAGGTGCTTCTCCTGGTCTCCCATGTGGGTGCAGGGTCCAAGGACCTGGGCCATCCTCCACTGCACTCCTGGGCCACAGCAGAGATCTGGCCTGGAAGAGGGGCAACTGGGACAAAATCCAGCACCCCGACCAGGACTAGAACCTGGTGTGCCAGTGCCGCAGGCGGAGGATTAGCCTATTGAGCTGCCACGCCAGCCTGTTTCTGTTTTTTTTTTTTTTTTTTTTTTTTTAAGATTTACTTATTTATTTGAAAGTCAGAGAGAGAGAAGAAGGAGAAGCAGAGAGAGAAAGAGAGGTCTTCCATCCACTGGTTCACTTCCCAATTGGCTGTCGTGGCTGGAGCTGTACTGATCTGAAGCTAGGAGCCAGGAGCTTCTTCCAGGTCTCCCATATGAGTACAGGGGTCCAAGGACTTGGGCCATCTTCTACTGCTTTCCCAGGCCATAGCAGAATGCTGGATCAGAAGTGGAGCAGCTAGGACTTAAACTGGTGCCCATAAGTGATGTTGGCACTGCAGGTGGTGGCTTTACCTGCTATGCCACAATGCCAGCCCCCAGAAACTTATTTCTAACTCATTGCTCAGATTGCGTTCCCACTCATGATTTTGCCCAGGCATAGAACTTGCTCAGGACTGAATCAATAAATGTGAACTCTCTCTTAGTCTCTTTCTTTTCTTTTCCTCTGTGCCTCTCAAATAAATAAGAAAATTATAGTCTGTTGGAGACATTTGAGGAGTGAGCCTATAGTTGGCAAACCTCTGTTTCAGTCTGTCTTTATCTTTCATTCTGTTTCTCTTACTCTCAAGGAAGTAAATAAGCAAATGCTATAAGATGGTCATGTGGCCGGTGCTGTGGCGCAGTGAATTAACACCATAGCCTGAAGCACCAGCATCCCATATGGGCACCAGTTTGAGACCCAGTTGCTCCACTTCTGATCTAGCTCTTGGCTATGGCCTGGGAAAGCAGTAGAGGATGGTCCAAGTCCTTGGTCCCCTGCACCTGAGGGAGACCCAGAAGCAGCTCCTGGCTCCTGGCTTCAGATCAGCACAGTTCTGGCCATTGTGGCCAACTGGGGAGTGAACCATTGGTTGGAAGACCTTACTCTCTTTGCCTCTCCTCTCTCTGTGTAACTCTGACTTTCAAATAAATAAATCTTAAAAAAAAAAAAGATGGTCATGAGTAAACCTCTGTGCTGTGACATCAGAAATTATGAAGCTAGGAATGACACTGTGGTGCAGTGTGTTAAAGCTCCAGCCTGCAACACTAGCATTGTATATTGGTGCCAGTTCAAGTCCCAGCTAGTCCTCTTCTAATCCAGCTCTCTGCTAATGCACCTGAGAAAAGAGCAGAGGTTGGCCCAAATCCTTGGCCCCCTGTACCCATGTGGGAGACAAGAAAGACACTCCTGGCTCCTAACTTCATTTTGGCCCAGCATTGGTTGTTGTTCCCATATGGGGAGTGAACCAGCAGATGGAAGACTTCTCTCTGTCTCTCTCTCTATAATTCTAGCCTTCAAATAAATAAAGTAAATGTTTGAAAAAAGAAATCCTACACTAAGGATGAACTTACATAAAACATGAAAATAAGTGATCCTGGACTCACCAAGAAAGTAATGAGATTTTGAGACCCAAGGTCAAGTAGCCTCATGGGGTTATGTTGAGTGGCTCAGATTTCTTTTAGGGTGGAGTTTGAAGTATGATTTTTCTCTTATTTTCAGTATCATTGAAAATAAGCAAATAAAAAGATAAGAAAAACATAGGAAATGAAGCTTTCAGTGAAAATAGGAGGCAACTGATCAAATGCCTCCAGAAATTCAAATTATCACACAGGAATGTTTCTAGAAAGAATTTAGAGGAGGTAACCAGCACTGATGATTTCAGAATGAGTTAGAAACCACTTTTCAAAGAAGATGAGCAATTCCCGGTTTGCAGAAACAAATTCTTCAAACTGATTGGGAGTGTTTAACTAAAGTGGTATATTGGGAATTTTCTGTACCTGTTGTACTTCTGAGAAGCTGAAGGTGTTGGGTGTCCTTAGGAATTTGGGGAAGCTGTCATAGAGTAAAGACAAAGTAGTTTTTCATTTGAAAAAATCCCACAAATGATGTTTACCTAGGAAGACTGAGCATGAGACACTCATAGATTTAAATCCTACTCCTTAAATGTTGTCCTGCTTAAAGTACAGGCACATTTCACTCTTCTCCACCTGCAAGTAAATGATCATTAAAACTTTTTCATGTTTATGGTTGAGATATCAGAGAAGGAAAAAGCACACAATTTTTATAAAAATAAACTGGGAAAAAAGGACAGGGAAAAAAATGGTTGCTAGGTAGTGGGTGAATATTTTTATTAAATATTTGCCCATTCTTTAAAATATTTTATAGTTATTTCATCTTTTGAAAGGCAGAGTGATAGTGAGAGAAGAGAGAGAGAGAAAGAGGTCCTCTATTAGCTCACTTCCCAGATGCCTGCAACACTTAGGTCTAACTAGTCTGAAGCCAAAACTCTAGAATCCCTCTAGTCTTCCCTGGTTTTTCACAGGTTCCCAGGCACATGAACCATTATCTGGTTCCTTCCAGTTTACATAGGCAGAGAGCTGTACTGAAAGCAGAGTAGCCAGGGCTCAAACTGACACTGTTTTGAGATGCAGGTATCCCACACATCATAGCACAAATGTCATTCTACCATCCTTGACAAATTCCCATAGTAAAAAGGATCATGTTTGAACATTGGGAAACCTCATGGTATATTAATGTATTAAGGAGAAAAACCATATAATGGTCACAAATAAGTACCTCATACTGATTTTGTGAACATCTTATGCCACTTGGATAACAAGTAACTTCATTCCCTTTACATTGAGTATGCCAGGAGAAACAGTTACATGTGACTCAGTGACATGATTGCTTTTTTCTCATTTCAGTGGTCATGAAAAGGGATGACCTGATTAGGATCAACCAGAAAAGTCAGGACAAAAATCTGAATCAGGATTTTATGAAAAATAACAAGACATCAGCTCTCAAGAGAATTGAATTAAGAAAAACACTTAGTTTAAATTCAAGCCATGTTCCAACACTGATTATTAAAAGGGAATCTATTCAGGATTGAAGCCTGAGGAATGCAATAAATGTCACACTGTGTATCCCCCCAGTGGGCCTGATCAACTACAGGCTGGAGAGAAATTTGATAACACTAAGATACCTGGAAAATCTCTCCAGTTCTGTGAGCCTCTTAGCCAGCTTGACAATATTCGCATCATGAAGCAGCCATTTGGACCCACTGGACAAGCAAAAGTCTTCACAAGAAAGACGTTCTGTAAATCTGAGAGGGTTCATATGGCAGAAAACTGTAATAAGTCAACTGTCACTTTTGGAAAAGCAACGCAAATAGAAAAAGCTATCCATGAAAATGCTAGCCTCAATATGCATCAACAAACTCACACAAGAAAGAAATTTTATAAGTACATTATGTATGTTGAACCTGTCATTCACCAGTCACATCTTGCAATAAACCAGAAACTAAATACAAGGGAAAAACTTTACACATGTAAACCTTGTGGAAAATCACTCAGTTTTAATTCACCTTCTGAATGTAATGACTGTGGAAAAGCCTTTAGACAAAATTCAGTCCTCAGGAAACATCAGCAAATTCACACAGGGGAGAAACCTCATGAATGTAGTGACTGTAGAAAAGCCTTTACACAGAAGTCATACCTCATAAACCATCAGCGAATTCACACAAGAGAGAAACTTTATAAATGCCTTAAATGTGGAAAAGGCTTTTTGTGGAAGTCAGACCTCATAGTACACCAGATAATTCACACAGGGGAGAAACCTCATAAATGTAATGAATGCGGAAAAGCCTTTGGACGCAAGTCATCCCTCCTCATACATCAGCGAATTCACACAGGGGAGAAACCTCATAAATGTAATGACTGTGGAAAAGCCTTTGGACACAAGTCAAACCTCATCATACACCAGCGAATTCACACAGGGGAGAAACCTCATAAATGTAATGACTGTGGAAAAGCCTTTGGACACAAGTCAGGCCTCAGGAAACATCAGCGAATTCACACAGGGGAGAAACCTCATAAATGTAATGGCTGTGGAAAAGCCTTTGGACAAAACTCAGACCTTATCAGACACCAGCAAATTCACACAGGGGAGAAACCTCATAAATGTAATGACTGTGGAAAAGCCTTTCGACGAAAGCCAGACCTGATCATACACCAGCGAATTCACACAGGGGAGAAACCTCATAAATGTAATGACTGTGGAAAAGCCTTTGGACACAAGTCAAACCTCATCATACACCAGCGAATTCACACAGGGGAGAAACCTCATAAATGTAATGACTGTGGAAAAGCCTTTGGACAAATGTCAGCCCTGCTCATACATCAGCAAATTCACACAGGGGAGAAACCTCATAAATGTAATGACTGTGGAAAAGCCTTTGGACAAATGTCAGGCCTCAGGAAACATCAGCGAATTCACACAGGGGAGAAACCTCATAAATGTAATGACTGTGGAAAAGCCTTTCGACGAAAGCCAGACCTGATCATACACCAGCGAATTCACACAGGGGAGAAACCTCATAAATGTAATGACTGTGGAAAAGCCTTTGGACGAAAGCCAGACCTGATCATACACCAGCGAATTCACACAGGGGAGAAACCTCATAAATGTAATGACTGTGGAAAAGCCTTTGGACACAAGTCATCCCTCCTCATACACCAGCGAATTCACACAGGGGAGAAACCTCATAAATGTAATGACTGTGGAAAAGCCTTTCGACGAAAGCCAGACCTCATCATACACCAGCGAATTCACACAGGGGAGAAACCTCATAAATGTAATGACTGTGGAAAAGCCTTTGGACAAAAGTCACACCTCATCATACACCAGAGAATTCACACAGGGGAGAAACCTCATAAATGTAATGACTGTGGAAAAGCCTTTGGACACAAGTCAGGCCTCAGGAAACATCAGCAAATTCACACAGGGGAGAAACCTCATAATTGTAATGAATGTGGAAAAGCCTTTGGACAAAAGACACACCTCATCGTGCACCAGCAAATTCACACAGGGGAGAAACCTCATAAATGTAATGACTGTGGAAAAACCTTTGGACGAAAGTCAAACCTCATCATACACCAGCGAATTCACACAGGGGAGAAACCTCATAAATGTAATGACTGTGGAAAAGCCTTTTTGTATAAGTTATACTCATATCAAAACAGTTCACACAGGGCAGAAACCTTGTGAATCTAATAAGTGTGGAAAAGCCTTTATAAATCATATGTTATAAATCATAGCTCATATCACACCACAGAATTCACGCCAGGGAGAGACTTTATGAATGCAATGACTGTAGAAAAGCCCTTGGCAATAAGTCACATCTCAGAATGCATCAGAAAATGCACAGGAAGAGAAACCTCTTGGACATAATGACTTGGAAAGCTTTTCCCATAATTCAGCCCTCATTGCACATCATCTAATTCATATGGGGGAAAACACTTCGGATATAATGCATATGGAAAAGCCTTTATCCATAAGTAACACCTCATAAAACATCAGAATTCACATGGGGGAGAAACCTTATGAATGGAATGAATGTTGGAAAACTCTGCTAAAATCACACAATATAACATCAGAGAATTTATTACATGGTGGAAATCTTGTAATAAATGTGGGAAAGCCTTTTGTCAGAAGGAATACCTCATAACATGTAGATCAAACAAGGGAGAGAACTTAATGAATGTGAAGGACTTTTTCCAAAGTCAACATAACCATGTGACAGAGCCTTTTGCTGGAAATTACATCCCATACAATAGGCACTCCCATAAGGAAGAAAGGTTGGGACCAGCGCTGTGGCACAGTAGGTTAAAGCCCTGGCCTGAAATGCTGGCATACCATGTGGGCACTGGTTCTAGTCCCAGTTGCTCCTCTTCTGATCCAGCTCTCTGCTATGGCCTGGGAAAGTAGTAGAAGATGGCCCTGCACCCACGTGGGAGATCCAGAAGAAGCTCCTGACTCCTGGCTTTGGATCGCTGCAGCTCCAGCCATTTCATCCCTCTGCGGAGTGAACTAGCAGATGGAAGACCTCTTTCTGCTTCTCTGTCTCTCTCTGTCTTTCAAATAAATAACATAAATTTTTAAAGAAAATGAAGAAGTTCAGAAATATTATTAGTGTGACAAAAAGCCATTTGTCAGAAATGGCATTATACATCAGAAAATTCACACAAGTGGTTTCTCAGGAGTGTAATGAATGTGGAAGTATATTTTCATAGAATTCAGGCTTGCATAAATATGCAACTCAAAAAAGGCGATATTCTTCAAGTGCAATAGACCTCAAAAAACCATAGCCAGAAATTAAACATCAGGCCGGTGCTGTGGAGCAATAGATTAATCCTCCACCTCCACCTGCTATGCTGGCATCCCATATAGGTGTGAGTTCTAGTCCCAGCTGCCCCTCTTCAATCCAGCTCTCTACTGTGGCCTGGGAAAGCAGTAGAAGACAGCCTAAGTGCTTGGGCCTCTGCACCCACATGGAAGACTAGGAAGAAGCACCTGGCTTCTGGCTTCAGAGCAGTGCATCTCTGGCCACTGTGGCCATTTGAGGAGTGAACCAACAGAAGGAAGACCTTTATCTCTGTCTCTCTCACTGTCTGTAACTCTGTCAAATAAATAAAAATCTTAAAAAAAAGAAACATCAACTAACACCAGAGAATTCATACAGTAAAATTTCAATTTAATGAATGTGAAAAATTTTTTCTGCCATTAATCAATTCACATGAAGAGACCCCGAAATGAGAAAACATACATGTATAGAAAAGTCATGTACCATATGTCACCTCTCAATGGTTACCTGACAACTCACAGAAAGAAAAAATCCTGTGACTGTATTGTAATGTGAAATACCTTTATTATTAGGCAAACTTCCACAGAACATAGCAAGATTACAGAGAGAAGTCCCTGAAGTATAATTTGTTTGGAAGAATTCTTTGGTGGAATCACACCTTAGTGAGTATTGGGCAGTTTTCATAATGAATTGTGACAGAGAGTGGTTAACCGCTCTTCAGAAATTTTTCTCTTATGCAACCGGAACTTTTGGTTTCTCATTATTCTGAGTGGAATCAAGTATATGAACTGAACTGTGCTCTCTTGTGTAAATTTTGTTAATAAATATTTAAAAGTTGAGTAACAGTTATTTCAACAGTTATTTGGAATACCATCTTCATCAATTACAAAGTTACTTGTTTTATAGCTGCTTTTTTGGCCACCCAGGACTCTTTCCCCACATTATTGTAGTGGAAACCAATGATGTGACCATAGGCATATCAAGTGACACATGTTCCAGCCATAATAGTGTACCCCGGCCCTGGATAATAAGTGTTGTGTGCAACACAAGGGAATGAGTGTGTGGTGACCTATATACCCATGAGAAATTTCAACTTATCTGTGTGCACATCTGGATTAGACTCCACTACCCAAGGTCTATTTGAATATGCAAGTAGATGTTGCCACATACATTACTCTCATTCTTTAAAGGGACAACCTGAAACCCTATAAGTTGCAACACTCATCTGAATTTTCCTGTATTACTGAGTGCATAATACCTTTTTCATTCATGATGCCACTTTTCTACTCTTTTTCATTCTATTCCTAATTGCCTTGAGACGAGACAAGAACATGGAATAAAGTCTATCCATGTGGTACCCATTGCAATAGAGAAGCAGGAGCATAAATGTAGTATTTTTTTTTTTAAAAGATTTATTTATTTGAAAGAGTTACATAAAAAGAGCAGAAGCAGAGAGAGAGAATTTTCCATCCAATGGTTCACTCCCCAATTGGCCACAATGGCCAGAACTGTGCTGATCCAAAACCAGGAGCTTCCTCCAGATCTCCCATGTAGGTGCAGGGACCCAAGCACTTGGGCCTTCTACTATTTCTCAGGCCATAGCAGAGAGTTAGATTGGAAGTGGAGCAGCCGGGTCTCAAACCAGCACCCATATGGGATGCCAGCACTTCAGGTCAGGACATTAACTTGCTGTGACACAGTGCTGGCCCCTGTAGTACATTTTTGTATTAATTTAACTTGTAATTTTTTACAACCTTTTTTTGTTGCATTATTCCCTGCTCCTGCAGGTGGCCCTCATTTTTATTGAAAATGTGTACTTTTATTCCTTCCAATTTACAAAGTCCTTTCTGGATTAATATAAATCTGATTTACATTCAGTTAGTGCCTCAGGATACCCTCAGGAGGAACACTTTTCCTAGGTTGCTTGGCTATCCCATGATAACAGGGCTACAAATGCTATGATGCATCTAGCTTCAGTAACTCTTTTATTTCCCATCTAGATAATAGCTGTGCAACTAATCCATTCCACCTCCATTACTACCCATAAGAAATAGCTCTTCATCCCTGTTTAAGTCCCCACAGCTTCTTGCAAGTGTTCATCAAATTAAATCTTATTATAAATAGATTTAATAGAAAATGAATGATGTAGCTGCTGGTAGTTTCAGTGAGGTTGAATGATTTGCTGGACTGCTGTTTTCTCTGGGTTATCTTTCATATTACTTAGAACTAATTTTTCACAATATTACTTGCCTGAGCACTTTTCCTAGGCTCCCAGCTAAACAGGTGTTTGAAGACTAGATTTACTGTTAATTCTCACTAAGAACAGAGGTCCCACATTGAGAGCACAGATCCTTATGTGGTCCTTGGGACATAGTGAATATTATACCCACTTGATTTAGTACTCAGGCACTGGTTTCCATTGAAGAGAAGAACTCAGCTGAACAGAATATAATTCCCTTCTGATTAAAAAAAGATTTACCATGCCAAACCTGGGTGTGTCACCTTAGGCATACCCTTTACCCTTGAAACTGAACAGAGCTCTCTGGCCACACCCACTACAAGCCTCTAGAGATTCAGTGAAAGCAGAAAGTCCATTTATCTACAGTCATAATACAATGATAAAAACCGCCAGAAAAAAAAAGAGTATTTCCACAAATGCCAAATGCAAGAATCCAAGAAGCAAGAATAAGGAAAACATCATCATGCTCCCAAAAGAACATGACATTCCAATACTAGGTCATGAAGATGATGAGAGAAGAAATGCAAGAAATAGAACTCAAAAATTTGGTCATAAGATTTCATAGAAGTAAGCAAAAGCAAAGGCACAAACTACTGAAATCCATGAAGGACATGAAAGAAAATCTCTCCCATGAAATAAAAATTATCAGGAGGAATCAAGATGAAATGAATTCAACAGAACATGAAACTGAGATATTAAAAAGAAATCAAAATGAAATGAAGAATTCAATACAACAAATAAAAAATGCAGTGGAGAGCCTTAAAAACAGAATCAGTGAGGCAGAAGAGAGAATACCAGACTTAGTAGACAGAGTACAGGAAAGTATACAGTCAAACCAAACACAAGAACAGGAGATTAGAAATCTAAAAAAGACTGTTGGGAATCTATAGGATACTATAAAAAAAAAAATAAGACCAACATTCTGGTTCTAGGAGTTCCTGCAGGCATGGTGAGAGACAAAGGATTAGAAGGCATTTTTAGTGAAATACTAGCAGAAAATTTTCTGGGTTTGGAAAAAGAAAGAGACATCCAAGTACAGGAAGCAAACAGAACTTTGAATAGACATGATCAGAAAACAACCTTGCCATGACACATTGTAATCAAACTGCCACAGTGAAACAAAAGAGAAGATTCTAAAATGCATAAGAGAAACATCAGATTACTCTCAGAGGATCTCCAATTAGACTCACAGCAGGTATAATATTTGTCCGCTCTGTCCAAAGAACCACATAAAGGATCTGTGTAGTCCTCAGTATAAATTCAGATTCTCCAGAAATGTCTCTCATAAGGTAACCAGGAACTCCCAAGCTTGTGGCCTCTCCCACTGAGAGTGCTCAAAGTCCCAGTCACACCACAAATCTTCCTACACACCCTCAGTTTTTTATTTTTTCACAGTCCTGCTTCAGAAGTTTCACACAGTCACAAGTTCCTAGTTTCCTGTTATTTTTCCCTACCAGCATCAGGAGTCTCCACTTGGCTGCTTGCCTGGTGTAGACACAAGCTGGCACAGATGTTATGTATGACCAAAATGGCTCCTGCTCTATCAGCTTGCATGCCTTTGTGAGGTGATTGGAGAGAGAGAAACATGTCTGTACTGTCCCTTTTTTTCCTCTCCTCTAGTTTGGCTGGCACACTTTCCCTCAGATATATAAGCCTCATTCCCTCTAGGTTCCTGCCACATTTTTGCTGGTGGCTCAGGCTACTGTGGTCTTGTCTCACCTCACTTTCCAGTTCTAGTGCATAGACTCTCAGCTGTTGGAGTCATGAGCCGTGGGCACCATGCCCTCCATGTGGGTCCACCATGTCCCTCTCATGTCAGTAGAATTTCCTCTGTCATTTTTTCCCTAACTCTTCCCTGAGACTACTCTATTTCCACTTTTTTAAAACTATCTTCTCCTGGGCTAGAGCAGTAAGCTCCCTCCCTACTCCACCATCCCATTATTAGCCCATCTCTATATGATTATGACTCTGTTTCTTCCAAATTACTAATTTATACACCATATAATCAAAATTAAATGTCTTCCATGGAATGCATATTTATTTTGTCATTTACTACTATCACCTGCATGTGTAATGAATAACCCAATTTGTGACATTCCTAACAGGGAAATGATGGGTACCATGGTTTGATTTATAATTGTGTGGTCATCAACTCACTCTAAATGCTGGAAGTTGTCCAAGCAACTGTCATGTGTATAGGATTTGAGTACATTGCAGTGCCAGCACCATCATGGTCATCAGCATAGGATACATTCTTAATGTTTCTAGATGCTCCTGGAACTGTAAATTATTTTCTGATTGTGGAAATTTTCCAAACTGCAAGTCTGTATCATACTGTAATTTTTCCAGTTTATTCTGGACTGTTTTTTCACCAAATATTCATCCACATATTTTTTAGTTATGGCTCACATTAAAATATACATTGTTACTAATGGCAAGGCAAAGTTTTAATTTCCATGTGCATCAGGTTTCTATTTTTTATTTTGTCTTTCATTTTATTAATTTCATCTGAGTATGTCAATATCCACATGGAAAGCAATCTTAGCACTGCCAAGGAATGATGATTCTCTTGGGCACTTATATTTTCATATCATGAATGCACTAAATAATGTTCAAGTTGTCTTAGCAACCTCCATCTTTATGGCCTATCAAATAATTTTAGAACATTACATTCCTTTACACTTTCAATGACACTTTTTTATAGCTTCCTTATATTTTGAGAATCAAAATTGTCATTCTCTTTAAAATTTCCATGCATTGGATCAAGACAATTTTATCTTGGTTTTAAAATTACTGAATTCAATGGCATAAGCTTTCTTTGATTTAAGAGAGCACAAATTTTCTGTATTTAAATGTGTATTTAGGGCTATTTTTATTAATATCTGTTACATCTCCTTGTAACCTTATTCCTGCTTCTACTAAATTTACCATTTGTACACACAACTGTCAATATATTGAATACATTTCTCTATTTTTCATGTTGATTCACATTTATCATTACCACCTCAATAAATAATAACCTAATTTGTGCCAATTCTAGTACAGGGAACTTCAGTCTACCATGATTTACTTTAACATTGTAAGGCCATCAAATTCTGGAAGATGTACAAATTTTATTTTCACAGTATATGAGAACAATTTAAGGCCAGTTCCATCACTCATTAGCAGGAGATTTCATTCTTCGCCTTACAGACATTCATGGAACTTGAAATTAACCTTTAATAATGAAAATTTAAGTAAAATTTTAAATTCACTGGAGTCACTCTTTTTCACAAATATTTTATTCTAGGCCAATCCTAGCTCTGTGACTTTGTGGCCATGGTGATTTCACTTTTATTGTAAGATCATCATCACCCCCAACATTCTGTAAGTTGCCCTGGAAACTGTCAGGTACACAGTGTCTCAGGGCCATTTTAGCCAAGGGTAATAATTCTTCCTCCTCAATGTAATATATATATATGAATATATGTAACATATATAATATACATATATTTATACATAGATAAATTTGCCACTGTGTGTTTAGATACTAGTATATTTTCTGAAAATTATGCGGGAAAATAGTGGGATCTTAATGTGATTTCTATCCCAGAATTATGT